GGGGTCAATTTACAAAGTTTTAACTTTTTTTTTTGAAAAATCGTTTTTAAACGTTTCCCAAAATGCCCATATTTTTAAAAAAAATTACTTTTTGATTTAAATAAAAGGGTAAAAGCCCCATAAAAAAACCTTCCTTTTTTTACCCAAATTTTTTATTTTATTTTCATTTATATGAAAGAACTTTTGAATTTCTTCCCATTGAAGTCCCCTCAGTTAATATATATTAGAATGCCAATGTTTTAAGGCTGTGTAAACTCAGTGAAACTCCTAAATGTTTACATGGTATATTTATTAATTGTTTTCATTTAAAATACAAAGTACTTTACTTTACTTTACTTTACTTTACTGAGTGGGTGTAATAAAAAGACAAAGAATTAAATGCACTTGTGTTGGAAATGCATTTCGTTACTTCGAAAACATTTATATGACTGCTGGCCGGGTAGTGTACATACACGTCAGATTTGAAACCCCTTTCTATCGCCGCGATTACGGTATCATAAGTATTTGTAACAAAACAATAATTATGCATGTTTGCAAAAACGTTCATATAATTTTCAATGAATATTAATTAATGAGAATTTTTTTTGGGTTTACTTAAATTGAAATTTTTACCTTCATATTTTCTAGTAACCCAGACACAATATGCATTTTTCAAAAAACCTTGATCGACCCCCCGCACCAAAATATAATAAAATTTTCTGCAAAAAAAACAGAAACATTGATTGCAAAACGCTTTTAGTATGTATGGACCCCAATTTTAAAATTCCCAAAAAAATTAAAAAAAAAATTAGAAATCAGCAAGAAAACTTTTTTTTCAAATTAAAAAATTTAAAAATTTACCATTTGGGTTTTTAAAAGTCAAGTTAAGTTTCAAATTTTTGTTTCCTTCGGAATTTCTGAATTTTAGTTTTAGAAAAAGTAAATGAATCAAATTTCAAAAAGATAGGGCTTTTTGTACATGGTTTGGGCACCCTTTTCGGGTAAAAAAATTGTCGTCCCAAATTGGGTTTCTATTGTAATTTGGGATTCTCAAAGTAAACGTTTGCTCAAGGCCACCATCGAATCCAGGTTTCCATTGAAGAATTATGGACGTCTCTGTAACATACTCAGACAGATATTCAAAACTTGTAGGCTGATCAGGCTTGTCTGTAAGATATTTGAAACAAAACTTGTATAACTTGTTGCTAAATGTTGTTCATATTTTGTATTTGAACGAATTTTAAAAGAAACAATAGCTAACATCTGAAGAAAATATAATCACAAATTAAAGCTGAATTGTAGCAATAATGTCTTTTTATTCCTCAATAAGACAAATACCTTTTGGAAATAATATGAAAATAATAGGAAATATGTTATAAATTCGTACAATTGAAACATATTATATTACCTTTTACTTTCACCTTTTTATAGAAGTAAGATGAATAAAAATAACATTTTTTTTGCATATAGCTATAAAATGTAAGATATTGTATATTTGAACTGAAGTAAACTTGTGTAAAACGAGTTTATTACATGTATACATCTTATCTTATATTAAAAGAGAATTTTGCCCCCATTTAAAAAACGCGACAAAAACCTTTTTTTGGCTTCTAAACTGGGAAAACCTGGTGGGAATTTATTTTTTTTAGTTTTAAAGCGCAAATGACCCAAAAGGCGGGCCTTTACACTTTTCTTTATAAAGAATGGTTTGTTTCAGGGAATTCTTTATAATCCCTTTTACTTTTTATAGGGCCTGTTGCCCGCCTACGCGGGAAAAAAGTTGTTTTTTTCCCCATAAATTTTTTTTTCCCCCGCCTGATTTAAAGCTTTTTACAAACATTTTTTTATTCAACGGGATTTTAATTGTGGCCGTAACATTCACGCAAAATTTGTATTTTTAAGAAACTGATGAGAAAATGTCGAGTTAACACGAGAGAAAATGAGTTTGGTAACGTATATGGGTACTTTTAGTGTTGATAAATCCCATGCAATATTTTATGCCAAGCATTATTAGATATTGATTACACAAAATCATGATTGATGCATGAAGTCTTAAACTTTCTTAGAATTTTGAATAATTTCCACAGAGGCTTTATTCTTCATTCTATCAAGAACCTTTTGGTGATATTTTTGATATTATTCAAAATTATATGAAAGTTTTACACTAAATGCATCAATCATGATTTTTTAATCAATAACTAGGCTATAACCTGCAAAGATATTGCAATGCACATAAAGTATCGCGTGGGAGTTATCAACAAAACAAGAATCCGTGTCCATTGCCCAAATCATTTTTTTCTCGTGTACTTGAAAAGAAATTAACCAGTTAACAATCAATATCCCTAATATTTACATTTTTAAATAAATAAATTCAATGAATCTTTCCTCCTTGCTAACTCCACAATGTTTCATCAATTTCTTAAAAAATACAAATTTTGAGTGATTGGTACCCGCAAAATTGTTTGCATTGAAAATTCCCGTTGAATTTTTGAGTGTTTGTAAAAGTTATATGCACAGGGGTTGAAAATAAGGTAAAGGCGACAAAAAGTCTTTATTTCGCGTAGGCTGCAATAAGTCTCGTATGAAAGTAAAAGAATATAATTAAGAATTATCTGAAAAAAATACACAAAAAACCGAGGTGTTTAGATCGCCACATTAATGTCACATAATTTCCTACAATGATAAAACATCTCAATGGCATCACAATCTTAACTTGCTTTTAACGAGTATCCTTTTTTCTTATACTATTTTTATTGTAGGCGCTGATCGATATAACTGTTTTGTCATCTCTATAATGAGGTAACAAACTTATTATTTATAACATTCTTTTAGAAAATGTATTACATGTTACATACCTTTTTCGCTGATTGTAAGATTTGAATCAAGACAAAATGTATTGATTTAAGATTTCATGCTTCGATCATTGGACTCCAGGAACTGTCGCTGAATATAATGATGTTGTTAATAGGAGAACATTATCGATGTTACCATATGAACACTATATCGCTCACCTACCTTTAAGACTTTACAAAAGAATATACAATTAATAGTGAGAGCAGGAATGTGATGCAAGTCAAAATGAATGTCAACAGAAAGTTCAAATCTGCATCTGAAATACTTTACATGTTTAAAATATGATTGGTGGCATAGGGAAATCAATTTTACTATGTAAGCCACCTATTGCAACGGAAAGCCAAAAGTTGTTATTACAGTCACTGGTAGCGAATGAAAGTCAATGGTTGCTATGAAAAGGACTGTATTTACCTGCTACCAAATTCAGAGTTTAGGATTCAATGATTGCCATTGATTGCTATGAGAGTCATAAATTGTAATGGAAAGTGAATGTTTGCTATAAAATTCACTGGATATAAGGAATAAGTATTGCTATGGATGTAACCTGTTGCGTAAAAAAATAATAATTGTTAAAGAAAGACAATGGTTGATATGGCATAACTATTTGCTAATTGAAATATAATGTTGCTAAGAAAGTTACTGTTTGTGATAAAAAGTAAATAGTTGCTATGGAAATCACTGGTTGCTTTGAGAATTACTGATTCTTGAGTAAAGACAGTGGTTGCGATGGACATTACTAGTTTCTTATTTAATTATATTACCATGGCTATATTTTGAATTACTTTGGTAGTTTATGCAGAAGTAGTTACTAAAGCTGTTCATAGTAGATTTTTTCCAAATTAATAAAAAAGGCAAACAATGACAAAACCAATATTGACCCCATAGTTTCAAAGAAACAGCTTTGTGTTAATATTACAATATGAAATGTATACGGAAAAAACAAAGACCACCACCGGAACAGGGCCAATTTTGTCCTTATTTGAGACAATCGTGCATGGTAAATATCTTAGTTTGTGATTAAAAAGCAGATTTAAACAAAGTTTTTTTTTACAATATAAAATATGGGAAACACATGACTACACCCCGTGGAGGATTTATATTTGAACCGAGGACTATCATTTAAAAACCCCGATTAGAAAATAATTCATGCAAAATATGGAAGCTCTAGGCATTGTATTTTCGGATAAGAAAGTAACATATCGACTACATTTTGAAAGTCTTTTCTTAGTTCCTTTTACCTTATTATGCACCAAATTTGAGCTATTTGAAGAATAGAAGAAGAAGCTATTTTAAAGAAGGTAACATAAGAATTGTGCTTGATGAATTTGGTTAAAATCTACTGTGCAGTTGATGATTTTTAATGGTTTGAACTCTGGTGAACTTAAATAAGTAATGCAAAAGAAGAATATTATATTTCTTGTTTCGTGATGGCAAATACATGTTATCGTCTAGAAGATAAAGTGATTACAAATGGTTGAATATACTGTAGGACCATTACCTTTTGACTAAATGAAATTATGTTGTTCAATTGTGTTGAATTCAATCATTCAATATAAAAGAAAAGAACGAAAGAAAAAATAAATATGATTTTAATTAAGTCGACAACATCTTATTGAAATGACACTTCGTCCCTGTCAAAAACCTGAATTATCCGAATTCCTTTCAAAACCGAGTATAAATAATGGACCGAGAGCCGTTCTGTGTAGAGGGTTTCAGCTATGACCTGTACTCTCAATTCATTTTAATATGTTGAAATCAATATATTTAAAATTCAATACCGGTATAACATATTTAATATTTACCGTGTGCTTTTAAAAAGTAAAATTGTTCCAAAGAGCCCACTGTGTTGTATATCTTCATCTTGTACCGCCCGTAATCGTCTTCAGCTATGTCGCGGATAATGAGACTGGAGTTTAGACCATGTGTTGTGATTTCGAACTTCTCGTCATTATTTAATGTTTTACAGGACGATCCGATAAAATTACACCATTCGTGTATCGGTTCTGGATATGCAATAGATTTGAAAAGAAAAGTAACAGTCACATTCTGTGCACTTGTAATGTTTGTTTTCAGCTTAAACTCTGGTGATAACAGTGGTGTACCTGAAATATCAGAACAATAAATGTTTACCAATCACAATACGCAAAAAAAAACTTGTATGTAAAAATTTATGCTCCTAATTTAAGTGAAACTTGCGACGCTATCTAAAATGTCCAAATTTAATTAAAATGACTACTATTTTATTTAATGGATGAGATAAATATGCAATGAGCGAATACTAACAAATAGCTATTAAACAAATAATCTGATAAAGCCTGTCGATTACAAGGCGGATTGGTAGATAAAACAAAGATTAAGGATATACCTAAATTATTGTTTTACAATATCTCTTTTAAAAAAATATAAATATAGTATCTATTCATCTGATCATATGAGAACACTTTGCGGTCGCATTACAGAAACTTCAGAAATCAATACATACTTATTGTGACAAACTTACCTTGAAATAAATAAGATTAAACATGTTTCGTCTAGAAAAAAACATAACTTACATTTCACACGTACGTTTAATTCTTTGGTAGATGGATTGGTATTGTATTTGTTTTGTGCTGAACATGTATAAACGCCAGCATCAAAACATGATTCGACTTTATGTGCATAAATAAAGCCTTTGGATACATTGCGCCACAATTCTTCCTCTTTAAACGACAACGATATTGTTGATACTGGATTACTGTCAACACCGCAGACAAAGTGGATGGTTTCGTTTTCAGTGACTTCGAAATATGTATTCTTCTTTTCTACGTCAGTAACATTGAACTTTAATATTCTACTTGGATCTAAAAAATGATTATATATTCAAAATAATATAAACCAATGAAATTAAATGGTTACTCGGGCAAATAAATTACAAAAATACCAAAATTATATAATGTATTCAAAACACGCTAAAATCACATTTGTTAAAGTCCAGCATAAATTTCTGTATAAATTCTATATATTTTGGGATTGAAGGGTAAATATATCTATATTATTATGTTGAACGAAATTTGGACGCCGACAGAATCACCTAGTAGTCTTAAAACTAGTCATGTGACTTGAACAAATCCTGCAAGTTACAATAACAGATATTTTGGATATTGTATGATTGCATCAAACCCTAAACATTCATTTGACATGTTCTTAAACGTTTCCAAAGTTCACTGTGACAACTATTGTAAAATTTTAACGCTCTAACCTGACCCACATGCGTCAAGTTAGGAAACCACCTTTTTATTCTTTATAAGAAGAAAAGTTTTGTTCCTGTGACTGTCTGACGTATTCATTTTGAGGATATTTACAGAATGAATAAAAAAATAAAAACGAAGAAATTAAAATTTTGCCTGTGTCCCCCTTTAAAGGCATATAAAAAGAAGGCCCAAAAGGACACAAATGGATATATAATTAAATGACTCACATTATTATGATTCTAAAATAATTACATGATTGTAAAGAAATAAATTTGGATTTTATGAAGTGTCTATGCCTTTTGAAGTTTTGACAATGAACAAGGACGCTGAAAACATAACCCCAGAAGGACCACCCTTCTTCCAGATTTTTGTACAACAATTGCAAGTCTTTCCATGAAATACGTCTGATTAAACGAAATAATTTACAAATGGGAGACAACAAATCAATTTACATAGTACGTCTATGTCAAGAACTGCCCTGGATGTTGACTTTTTTCCTTCATATTTAAGGAAAACTTGAATTACGTTTTCTGCAGTACATTCATACAACCCTATGTCCTCCTTCGTAATACTTGTAAATATTAGATTCGGAGATTTCACGTCATTTGAAATGTTCCATGTGCATGTTGGGGGAGGATCACCGTCGGATCTACATAAAACAGTGAAGCTGCTTCCTTCTTTAACGATTAGTTTATTATATTGTAATTCACCATGTCTTGCAAATTCATTTTGTGCAACGTATTCAAAGTGCGGTTTATCGGGAGGATCTGAAATTGCAAATGCATATCATGGAATTTCACAAAACGTAATAAAAGTAAAAACGTCTCAGTAATATTGAAATGTTTAATGAATAAAATTCCTGTTTCGTATAATACAATAAAGGAGATATATAATCACATGTTAAAGTCACAACTTAGTTTCCGTTGAAACAGCTGTACTTTCTTGAAAGTAAAATTATATGTGTAGGATATTAAGTGAATTATTAGTAATGACATGCTCCTGTCATAAGATGCATGTACAAAGGAATCAGTCTACTGCCATTAAAAAATCAATAGCAATCATTTTTATTGTGCGAAATACCTTTTTATACATGCTATATTCTGTTGATAATTGCATGTCTACAAGTAGTACAGACTCAAACATCAATAAAATAACCAAATATACTTTTATAGGGTTAACGCACGTTTTCCGTAATATGAAGTCTGCAGAGTCCAGAGGAACGGTTGGTGCCCGAGCCCGGAAGGGCGAGGGCTCCAACAGTTCCGAGGGACTTAGCAGACTTTATAAAACGAAATAAACGTGCGTTGACGCTATTAAAAACAGATTCATGATGTTTATCTTATACAAGAAACATACATAAAATCCTTGTGCTTTGACGGTATTTATTCAAATGTACATGTTTTACGTAATGCGTTTTATTTTCCCGGGGCCAAAAACTTAGAAAATACAAATGGTCAAAATCGAACAAAATTTCGAATTTTGATTGATTTATCGAAGCTTAACATTAGTGATTTGTTAACTTAAGAAAACAAATTAAATAACACTACGCAAGACAAAACGTGACCCTCAGACATTTCTAGAATGATTTCAGCTTGACGGTAGAAAAAAGATCAGTGACAGAATCATTTTTTGTTCAAGAACACAAGATTTAAAAAAACAGGCACTTAACATTATTCTCTCAAAGAGCATTTATCAATATAAACATCAATAGAACAACATTTTCTCATATTCATTTTGTGTTATCTTGTTTTGTAAGTTAATCGGAGGGTTAAACTGAATGAAAGATATTTGTTTACATTGACAACTGTCCGTTTCTTAGAAAGGACGACAACTAAGATTAGCGGCGATGTCTATACGCCGTATTTCCAGCATAGTTAGCCGTTATGCGATTGAGGCCCTCTAATAAATAATTTCAATTAACACTTTTCAAACAGGCCAAATCGTCATATTTTTGTTTGTTTACTTGGCCCTGTATGTATTGCGCATAGGTAAAACCGGGCTATAACAAGAGCGCGTGACTATGTTAACACATGGTTTTGGTCCCGTTATAACACGGGCAAAAGAGGGGAAAATAGCCGATTTTATGCTATAATGAAGATTACAGAACTACCGTACTTTAATATCTGAGAAAAATATGAATATCATAACTAAATTCTTCTATATGTTTAATTACTTAATAAAATCTTTAAAATCCATACTAATGCATTCTATTTTTCTCTTTAAACGATAACAAAATTAACACCATTTTTATTTTTGAATATTTTGAAATTTGTCCGTTTTTCTTTAATCATGCATAGGTTAAAAACATTCAATGTGTTATTTTTTATAGCCTTTGTAAAAATGTGTACTACTTTTGGTGATGACTTTAAAGTTGTAATACATTTTATTTTGTAGACATAGCATAGAATGTTCAATCTCCGCCTGCTCTGAAGGGAAATTACAACGTTATAATTTATATGTCAGTATTTTGTATTGTTTATATGTTAGTATTTTGTATTGATGTTCGAAAGATACAAACACATTTTTTAATAGACTGAAAACGACAAAATGTAGTTGTATATAATAACTTTAACTGTAAGATTTGGATAACAATGTTCTGCTAAGACATTTTGCGGAAGCATGTGCATACATATATCTATTAGCTCTTTTTATTTAAGTTCCCTACGCCAGAGCTTTTACTACATATTTAAAACTAGAACATTCAATAACAATCTTTTCAATTTTCAAAGTGTTCAATGAATTATTAATTTACTAATCTAAAAAATTGATGTCTGTTAAGTAAATAAATAAAGGAGACAAAATAGAAAAACTACAACTTACATTGAACATAAAGTTTAACTTCTTTTTGTGTTACATTTGATATATTATTCGTCGCTTCGCAAAATATACGGGTATCATTTTCCCATCGTAGCGGTTTCAAATCAATGCTGCTTTTAGACATTAACATACCATTATCTAGTTCAGTAATATTGTATACCGCAGTTTGTGTTAAGTCTATGCTCATGCCTGTCTTGGACATTTTTCTCCACGTAATACTTGCAGCAGGTCGTCCTGTCGATGGCATGCAGGTTAATGTTGTTTTCATATTTTCTACCGTCCTTATGAACCTTTCGGAACTATTTTCAATTTCCACATACTTGATGGGGACTGAAAGAAGAAAAAGACAACTGGCAATGTATTAAACTTTTATTTTAATATTGTTAAGCACATTGAAAATTTAAGTAAAAAATGCAAAATTGAAGAGATATATAATATATAAAGCGTGACATGAGTGCACGATATTTTCATGCAGTAAATTCATCCATCCATCCATCCATATATGTTACCGCCTCCGTGGTCGAGGGGTTAGAGTCGATGACTTCTAATCCAGTTACCTCTCTGGCGCGGATTCGATCCCCGGAGATGCTTTGCACGGAGGAAGGCAGTCTAGTACTGGTGTAACTCTCCAGGAACGATGGTTAGGAAACTACCCGCCTATATGACTGAAATACTGTTGGAAAAAGGTGTAAAATGAAACAAACAAACAAACAAACATTAATGTCATAGCTATAGTACATGTATACAACTCAAAGTTTGCTAAGGATCATCTTTTTGACTTTTCATATTTCCGTTCTTTTATAATCATATTAAAATAATATTTCTGCTTACGATACACCTGTACGGGGACCTTATCATCGTTTACTTAAGTTATCGATTTGGAAATTTGGTGTTTTATGGCCATGTGCTTTCACTTAAACGTGAACAAGCAGCAATACTTTTTTCGTTTTATTGTAAAACTGTGTTCGAAATTATGGCAAATCGACAGGTAAGCTGTCGTCTTAGCTAAGATGAGATGAACAGGAGTACTGAAATGTTGGAGGCTGGCCGTTCACGAAGGCAAGTTGCCCATGTCCTTTGGGGGTATCCGAAAGCGTTGTCTCCAGGAAATGGAACCGATTCAAATGACTGGAAATGTCTAACAGGACCACGTCGGAGGGAACGTTCCACGACTCAAGCCCAGGACCGATTTATTATCCTTCAGGCCAGGCGTCAACGGTTCCCGAACGCTACGACCTAACGTAACAACTTTTAGAATGCAACTGCTGTGTGTGTAAGCACATAACCTGTTAGAAACGGGTTTGAGGTCACGGAGGCCAGCAATTCGAATTCCGTTGACACAACGCCATATTAAAAAGCGTTTGCAATGGGCGCAGACTCATGTCACATGGGCAGTTAATGATTGGTCCTCTTTACCGATGAGTCAAGGATTTGTATGTACTTCACGGACAGACGGGTTAGGGTTTTGGGAAGTCGAAATGAACGTTTAGCTCCAGCATGCGTTGCAGAACACGACCGTTTTGCGGGGGTTCAGTCAATGTGTGGGCGGGAATAAGAGCGCAGGGGAAAACCGACCTACACATCATTGAAAACGGTACACTGACGACAGTAACGTACGTCAATGAAGTCTTAGACGTTCATGTACGCACGTACGCTGGTGCAGTCGGTCCTGATTGCATTCTTATGGATGACAGCTTCCGTACACACTGAGCCCACATCACAATCCGATATCTTGAGGAGGCAACTAAAGTCCGCATGGATTGACCAGCGAGGTCCCCTGATTTAAATCCAATTGAGCATGCTTGGGATATGCTGCAGACAACCATTTCTTTACACCACTTCTATACAACAACAGTTCAGGAGCTAAGACATGCAATCATAGAGGTATGGGCCAAGATTCCTCATCACAAGGTCTGCAGGCTCATCAGCACACCATACTCGGTATTCAAAAACTATCAATATTGTCAATTTGCGTTATTGAACGCCGCCTTTCCTTGTTGATCTTGTTTATCATATTTTTTGGCATTCTAAAGAAATTCCGCCATTACATTTAGATTCCAGAAAATCGAGTTAATCATTAAGAAAAAGTGTGAACAAGAGAGGGGAAAGATTTTCCCCTTTTCTCACGCCACAGTCGCACGAAAACATGGAGGAAACTTCCCCATTTGATTGACATGTTGTACATGTTGCGAATAATCCTTAGGAATTTGCCATTAATACCATTATCGATCATTTTTGAAAAAGTTGGGCTCTATTTACATTGTCAAAAGCTCGGGAAAAATCAACAAAAGCTACAAAAAGCTTACTTTTTTCACACGCATTAGTTCTATCAAAGAATTTAAGGTAAATACATGATCTATAGTCGAGTGATTTTTTCTAAAGCCTGTCTGATTTTCAGGCATAAATGGTTGCGAACGATAGCGCCCAAGATGGCTGCCAAAAGATGAAAATTTCAACTTACTAATACTATATTTTAAGCAGTCAAAACTGATGCATTTGCAATTTTCATGCATTTTTACATAAAAACACATGTCACAGATATAACTTTAGTATCTATTTTTAATGTAAAAATACCTTTTAACAGGCAAAGACTGAAAATTGTGACAAAACAAGAAAAACAATTGCTTAGACTTAAATTTGTCCGAACATTTGTCCATGTTTTAATGCAATTTAAAAATTAATTGACTTACTATGGTTTTAATCACAAGAAACCATCCTTTACGTAACACATTTTTCATAGAAGGTTTTCTGTTTCGGTTGGACTTCCTGTAAAATTTACAGGATATGTCAAAATTTCATTGGACATTTTGAAATTACAATCTGAATTATCGGAATTTGATTAGCTATTTAAAAATTAGTAAAATAACATAAAGAATTTTTTCTGACATGGTATACGCGTCAAATTTTATTTGGTCTAAAGGAGTTTTGGAAACGAACTATCTACATTCATAAGTTCATCCGCTATGAAGTTAAATTCAAGATGCTTCAGTTCCATTTAACCATGCCTTCTCCTACACATTATAAATTCTACATTAACATGCATCATCCTGCAGATTATTTTACGTTGCTTTAATGAGTTATAAATTTGTCAAACACTAACGAAACCACCACTTACAATAACGTCCACAATCCCATTTAGTCATGCGCATGAAAATAGCGGGAAGCACACAAAGTAAACGAACTTATCCGGTATTATCCGGTATTTATGTGAACTGGATACAAAGTTAATGTTCATGTATTTTAATTATTAATGAAGTATTTATTTAACTGCTAATGATTAAATGGTTTATTTATAATACATTTTTGTCAATGTTTTATATTAGAAAGCTTACTTTCGTTTTTTTTATTGGACTTATGAATCTTTTGTTATTTCCAAAGGTGTATTCGGGTATTTCGTAACAAAAAAGAAACATTGTAGATTTCTAATTTAAAAACCTTCTATTGAAATTTCGATTTGATTAAAGTCCAATTACATACATGTTTTTTTTAAGTTCAAATGGCATTTACAATGATAGAAATAAAAAATTACATGACGGTAAAAATGAATTGTTTTGTTTGTAGTTATTACTTCGTCTTTACTTTTAAAGGATTAACTTCAGACTTTACATTTTGTTTCTATTTAAAATACTTCGTGTGTACCAACATATGCATATGATTTTAATATTCCAAAAAATTAAAACGCAAAATTCAATTAAAGCCTCAATATCATTATCCTAATTATTCTTTTTTATGTTTCCTAAGATACGATATGCAAATAAACCAGTTTTAGTCCGGCCGAGTATCTTTTTTTAAAGATACTTCTTGTTTGGAGGTACATATAAGGTGTATTTTTCTGTGGGTGGGTTAAAATAAGAATTTAATCAAAATCACAAATTTATTGTCCGTAACAGTATTTTTATCTATTTCAATTGTAATTATTTTTGTATAAACTACTGGAAAGACTTTGATCTATAATTAATACCAAAGCATGTCACCTTTTTGATAAAGTATGCAACAATTGTAAAAAGATCTATAGGCAGTTAAGGACAATTAATTTGAAAATATTGTTTTAATTCAACCCTTATAAATTTATGATTAAATAATTCATTTGCATATTTTTTTTTTGTTTATCCAAGTTTATATGATCATGTATATATCCCTTGCATATCTGTAAATATAAATTTTGCAAATATGAATGCTTTCTTTGACGAGTTTCTACGTATATTTCCCGGTGTAACAGAGTGGATATGGTACATAACACATTTAGAAATTTGAATTTAATTTCTGGGAAAAGTAAGCAATCAAATGATAAATATCGTCTCTTTTTCACCAAAATGTTTAAATATTATAAAACCACATTTTAAAAGCACAAAAGTAAATTTCGAGAACAAGAGGGTCATGGTTGACCTATATTGCACACCCTGTTGACAACTGTAAATTTTGGTGATTTCATCTTAAAATTGAAAACAAGGAAAGTAAAATTTGATGACGAAAAATAAAAACATTCATTTGTATCATTTAACATGTGTTGGCAGTTTTGACAAAAGGTCGTGACTGTCACAAGTTAGGTACATAGTTGATCAATATCAATGCAAGGAATAATTAAACTGAAGGTCATCAAGTTCCTGACAAGAAGTGCTATCATTTCTATAATAAAGCAGTATGGCCAATATTTAAATTTGAAAAAGATCTAAATGTTTAATACCAAATCCTTTATACCTAAGGTCTAAGACTGTGTGCTTTATAGAATAGATTGCTTTCTTAAAATTAAATTTACTGTCAAACAATCCTAAGTACTGACCTCCTTAAATGCCGCAAAATTGTCATCTACAATAATAATTATGTATTGTGTGCTTATAACTAAAATTTGAATTTAAGATGCATAGCGTTGTGCAAGGTACTTTTAATTCATTCATGTCTACAAGCATGACATTCACGTGCATGTTTTGTAAAGATGGATTTCAGAATAAAACTTGAGTTACTGTAGTCTTAAACTTCTCAATAATGATCACAACACGCTTAGGAAATATTTGTATTACGTTTTTAATTGTTTGGGTCGTGTATTTTTAAATTGTTTACGCCAAATAAACATTGAATTGAATATCAGTGTTGCAATAAGCCTTATAGCCAATTTACTACAGTTATAACACTTGAAACAAAAAACTGGAGTTCAAAATATACTTTGTAGTCTACTAGAAAAAACATTTTTTGCGTTTATTTTTCTGTATTATTTTCTTTTTTCTGTAAACGATAATGATTCATTTATATGTTCCAAGACAAGATATAATTCACCGAAACTCTGGGAAAATAAGCATTAATTAGCAGTTATAATTTGACCA